GTACGATTGGATGCTATTCTTCCACTGTGCCGCCGTAAGTTTTCATTCACGGTTTTGGATGAAAGGGTCCTCCTTCCTTACTTCCTGCAACAAATGGTCTTTCGGCCTGACCTAGTTTTTTTTGGATTACCTCCTCCCGGTATCCTAAGATCTACGCCTTGAACCGTTTATTGAGGACCGATCAACATTATAAATTAAAGCTGTATCATACACTAAATGACCTCCCAATAATCTTATACAATTCACTCGTTGTTTTTCTAAAAGTCGAGGCATTTTTGAGAAAATAAAATCATACTGTCAAGTCAATATTATTGTTACTCAGCAATTGCATGTTTGAGGTGTAGGTAGTTAGGGTTAAACCGGAGAAACGTCCTATTTGCATGGAGATGGTAATAAAAAAATACGTTATAGCCAACTTTCGTAAAATTTGAGATATCACTTTTTTCCAAAGAGCAAAAAGATGCAACCTTTGCTAAAAAAACATGACTTCCTTTGCTCACCCTGTATAAGTGGATAAATAAAAGAAATATACCGGTCGAACCCTGAACGTGTTCTCAAAGAGTTAGTCAAGGACCTTCCGAATACCGCTACTCGATATCTCTTTCCGTTCCGAAAATATCGAGATTTGAATTTGAGTAAAATTTTACATGTTGCAAAGCAACTGTCCACCAGTTGATATTACGTGACGCAACATTTATGAAAATGCAATAAAGGTAAACAGGTCTTTTTTCACAGTTTTATGCGTATAACTCAAGAACCACCGTTTTTCTTTCAACGTCGAATCGTTCGGACTCGAGTAGTAATTCAAAATTGGGTTGTCCACAAAAACTCATATTTCCTCCGAAGAATCTATAATTCACTATTGAACGCAATGTATTTCTCTTAATTTTATGTTGTTACAGCAGCACACAAGTTGCTACATGCAATGAGTGACTCTTGACACTTCCTTCTGTTATGTTCAATCAGTGAGGAAACTTTTCTAGGAGCAGTTTTATATCCTACCAAACAGTATCATATCTAGACATAAAAGCAAATCTCGTTGACTTACTTACGGGGGTTGGTAAAGCCGCAAGTTATACAAGGTGTTTCGTAATGAATGCGCCGGAAAGCAATTGTGAATTAAACTCGTGAAAATAATATTAAGCCAAATATGCCTTAGTAAAATGTCACTAGTTATTGAGATCCAGATTGTTGCGGTTTAATTTTAAACATCGATTTTCTCAGTAGTTACTAAGTTGTTTTTGGAATATCAACATGAAAATTGGAAACTGGGGGATTGGGAGGATAAGGATTACCTTTATATATCATTTTTCAATATAGTAGGTATGAGGGTTGTTTCAAAAATAAGGTTCCTACATTTTTTCAAAGATACAGCGTTGGGAACCATATCTTTGAGACAACCCTCCTAGATAAGGCTAGCTGGACTATTGCTATATGGTCAGTATCTAGTATGATCCATCAGTATTTATCATTAAATGTGATATTTAATAAAGTGTAGCATGAACGTTAGTATCTGGCTCAATAATCAAATCACAGGCTTAGCAGGTCATATATCGGATCAGGCTCATTTTTTTGGAGACAGACACGCTCAAAGTTTGAAGGTTAGGAAAAGGAGTAAATCTTAGCGTTTTGGTAACTTTCAAATTTTCGCTATTGCTGTCCCAGGAAAGCGTTAATTTACGACTATTCGAAAACAAACTTGTCTAAGGAACGGAAAGAGAACGATCAGTGTACTGTACTAGTTCAATTTTGTACTAGGGTCGAATAAAATTTTCGAACCAATTTACCATTTTCGTCTTACTATAGGTTGAATATAGATGTTATTGGAGCTTGAGCTAATCAAAGAGATTATTTATATTACAAATGCATTAACACATTGCTTAATGTCCATTGGCTAAAGCAGCGTTTAAGAGATAATTGCAAGAAAAAAACTACTCTAACACACACACTGTATGGATGGATGGTGAGGATTTCAATCTCAAAGACACTTAGAGCTACAATGTTGGCTAGACTATAAAAAAATGCAAGTACGCAATCACAAAATATGCCTGCCTTGTTACCGATTGTGAGTTGTTTGAAGAAAATATAATTTCGAAGACTTGAAAAATTATATTTTTTTCAAAATCGGAAAATGATAACCAACTACTGTAAAGTGTTTAATGTAACCATTATTGTAGCTCTGACCGTTTTTGGGATTGAAATCCTCACCTTGCACATACTGTATACTGAACTATCGTTTTTTGCGGATATCTCTTAGAAGCTTCGGTAGAAGAATATACAGGAAGAGTTTTTAGTGTGAGCTCGGTCGATAACGCCGTTATTACGTATAGTATCTGATAAAAATAATTACAAAATTTGCAGCCGACGGTATGCTGCTTACTTGAAAAATATTTTCATTTCTACAGGGTGATTCATAACTTCGTGGCGACCCACCCTAACATACATGTCTTGGAAAGATCTACATTATTTCCCAAGAGAAATTTTATGATTTCATATTTTTCTCTACATACTTTGTCAGTTTTTTTGACAATCTATTCAGGGTGGTCAGTAACGCAAAATAAACGATTTCTCAAAAGTTTTAAATGGATCACCCTGTTTATTTTCACATCCCTCGATTCCCCTTTTCTTTGATACAATGTTTTTGGGTTTTTTACGGGTGATATTACAGTTAACCTTTCTGTAAACCAGATATAAAGGTAAATGTATTACATTACGGTTCAAAATAAAAAATATCACTTAGCTGAGATCGCTAGAACTGATGAATTTTCATCATAAATTAAATTTTCTCCACCTTATGCAATAAAATCTAAAAGTCAAGAAGATATCCCTGTGTTTTTAGTAACTCAAAACCGAGTCGTACAACCGCATATAAATCTTATATCAGAAAAAAAATATGAAAAGCGAAGTCAAAGAATACAGGGTATTATATTTGAAAATTTTGATAAATAGTTGATTTTATGTAATTGATAACTCTGTATAAAATATCCAAGATACTGAACAACTAAGTAGATAGGCAGAAATATGGCATCAAAGATTTTTTCTGACGAACATATGTGTAACAATTGTGAGGGTGCGAGTTGTCAAAGTTGAGTGCATCTTCTTAGTATGCTATATCAAATTGCTTCGTATGGAAGGACCTATCTAAATCTGAAATAAAATGTAAGACTATCCATTTAAAAAATGCATATTAGGGTCACCACGTAGTTATGCATCGCCCTGTAGATATAAACATGTTTTCAAAATTGGTTGGCTACAATATTTTTATTCAACCTTCTTAAGGCAGTCTGTCACGATACAAAAATTTGTGCTTAAATTGGTACCAAATTTTGTGAGAAAATGCGTTACTGAATGTAGTCCCAACCTGTTTACAAATTACAATCCTGTTTTTCACGTATAAAAAAACTATAACTGTCAGTTCGAACTGCCATTTATCACGTCAAAGTCGTAATAACCACACTTTTTGTTGAGGCTTGCTACTTTATTACTTTAATCGATTAGAAAATTATAGAAAGTCAAAATATTATATGCGACTGCGGGGCCAGCGATCTGCGTTGTAGCTGTCCATCTCATGAAAAAACGAAGTAAACGAAACCGTTAAAGAATTTGGTGTCGAAAGTGGATCAGGGAAGTGACCGGAGAATGGGTGTATTCCAGATGCCGACTGAAGGACCTCCAGTGGAGGATCCACTGGTTCATAGGCCTAATTGGTGCTAAAGTCATTCTGATTTTATCCAATGCAGCTTATTTGGTCTTTCTGTTTTTATAAGCCTTGATTTTTATAGCGCTTAAGCAATCATATTTCTTATACTCGTTCAGTAGTATGTCACACTGTCCTTTTGACCTTGACATCTTTTAAGTTTTTCAATTGACAAGTAGAACTGCATATAGCATAAGCAGAGGAGTTTCGCAAAACTGATGAACACAACTGATCACAACTAATGAAAGTGCTTGAGGCTAGGCTTGTTTTCGTCAACCAATTATCATCTCATCTAATGACAAAACATTAAGAAAATGTCAAGGAGTTAACACAAAACATGTAATTTCTTGCGTCGTAGCGCTTCTAACAGTCATTGTACTGATCCAAAAGCGCAGCAGGTGTCTAACCACTTTTAGCATGACATTATTTAGAACAGGTTCTAAAAAAATTAGCACACAATTTGTTCGTACAAAATTAATTCTCTACGAAATTTAGCGTACTAAATTCAGTACAAAATTATATTCGTAATAGCAGAGTTATCGACCGAGAACACACAAAAAATATTCACCCTGTATTTTATTAGAATAAATTGGTTCGAAAACGAAAACAGGTATAACGTAACACCCGAGATAGTGGGTAGGTAACAATTTGGGTTCTGTCATGTATAGTCAAATTGTAGGTTGGGTATTTTGTCATTTAGTTGTCAAGTAGTAAGTTAGGTGGTTTGTCGGATAGTTGTCAGTTTTGTTTATCCCTAGATCGTTCGATATGTTTCGCAAATTTTGTAGAATTCTTGAGTATTCTGGAAAGTGATCTTCACATGTTGCTAGGATGAGTATGGAGTTGTTGGTTTAGGGTTAGTAAATTTTGAGCGAATACAACATGACAAGGCGAGAAGTATTTTATTTAGCAGGATGCTTTTTGGTAATGATCCGTGTCTTCTTAAAGGTAAGTGATACTCCTAATCAGTATTCTAGAGTAAGTGGTAAGTAATTGGATCTAGCGAATGAAAAGGAAACATTTTCTTTCAAAATATATTTTTGCAGTTTTGTTGTGCCCGGGACCTTTTTTTAATTATCAATGTGCGATTTTATACATGATGTGTATCATTTCGTTTTTATGATCTATGCCATGTTAAGTGTACAAGTATACAATGTAGGCCATATAATATGAGAGAAAACGTTGTGAGGATATTATTTTGTAGCATATTTGTGGCATACACATTTTCATAGTTCAAAGATTCTTTGCATGCTTAGCGTTAGAATTATTATTTTTAAGCTCCTTCCTATACATTAAAACGACATTTAACTGTTTTATATAATTCTATTGTTTTCGGATTTTGATTGACATTATACATACGAAAATAAAGGTAAGATAAGGTAAGTTAGCTCTGTCTGGTCTGCCACCAAAGAGACGGACAATGTGGAAGTATGCTTACGTACCAACTGATTTGTTAACTGCAAGAGAAGTGGACGTTAGTATTGTGGAAGAATTGTATATGGTTTATGGACATACTATATATTTAAAAAAATCACTAATACTAACGGAGCTATGTCAATGACGTCTTATCCAGTGGACTGGTAAACCTTTATTGCTCGCAATATTAATTTGCATTTAGATAAAGGAAGATAATCGGCGAACCTGACAACAGAAGTGTGGAGACTATGATTTCTAGGGGTACCAAGAAATAAATAGTACAAACTATACTAAATATTTATTACAGAAACGAAAACCATATGGAACTACTAAAAGCGAAAACAAATTATTGTCACGTCACGTTGGTTCACGTGTTGCCGCTTAAACTATCGTTTATTTGTCTTTCCTGTAGTCGTTTCCTCTAGCACCGCCACCTCTAAGAGCCTATTTATGCGGCGCTAACAGAAGTCGATAGGGAGTGTCGGCTTACTGTATCTTGCTTCTCAGCACCCAATCCAGTAGTTTGGTGTATCAGTTGATACAACTTCCCTGTCAGTACTTCTCTAACCTCCATCGGTCATAATTTTGCTCTTCAAGCTTACATAGAACATGAAAGGTTTATTCTGTTCCGCAACCAAATTGCTTTCAATTCAAGTCTCCAGGTGCACTTACATTGCCTTCGTTGCCTGAATGTCCAGGTGTTTTCAGTAGGGTGTCCCAAATAAAATAATTTCTTTTTCAAACGCATACCCTCTAATTTTGCTTGAACAATGTCAAAATAATAATTGTAAATACAGTTTTGTGTACCTATAACTCGGGCAATCCGCGCCGAACTGCGTCGGAACATGTCAAAACAGGCATATAATAATAATTGTAGCGTTTATTTGCAGAGCAAAAAAATACAAAGAGAGAAAAGAATTAAAAATGAAGAAACAACATGAATTTCCTGCAGAAGCGACAAGCTGATCAAAGTACTAGCCTAACAAACAAAATTACAACAGAGGAGTTCTTAATCAAATTATATAAGTTAATATTAATAAATAATAATGACAAGCGTAAAAAATATATGTATATAAAGAAATTATATAACAAATATAATTTAACGAAAAACGTCAAATCATTTTAGGCAGATTTAACAAAAAAACATTTAAAATATAAAAAGGAAAGAAACAATATAAAGTAAATACTAGGTGCCAGTTAACGTATTTCAGTGCTGGTTTGTTATAGTAGTAAATGCACTGTTTTCTTTCTGTCAATACGTCGAAGGAACTTCCCTCTAATAGACAAGTACTAGTAGTTTTGTTCTATAATATCCTGGAAGTGAAGTTAAGTGTCAATGAGATCGCCAGCCTTATGATCCGTGGGTGCATTAATTACTGGGAAATGACGCGTATTCAGACTAAATTTTTACCTGTGTTAAGAAAATAGTTACCTTATACCAAGTTGGAGGAGATTTGCAAAAAATTTAAGCAAAACACAAGAAGTGTTTGAGCAACGTCGGCAAAAGTTTGACCTGTGCAATCCTTTTTTATGCTGCAAGTACCTCGAAGGCCTAAGGCCTTGAACACCCATGGGGTACCGTGTGGCTATAGGGAATACAGGGGAAGGACGTCACTCTAGCGAGGAAACACGTGTGCACGCGCACGTTTTGGCCCCGCCCACGAGGTCCGCCGGGTGGTAGCTCTTGGGACGGGATTCGAACCCGCGCAGCGCACGGCGACTCGTTAGGAGACCGTAGCGTCTTCGACTACGCCGCCGCTGCTGCAAATATCTGTTTGATATTGCGCATGCCGATGCAGTTCAATTGATGAAAATGAATTAAGATAGAATGTTCTTGCAGCGGCAGGTCGACCTGGCCATTTTGCTGGCGTGGACAAGAAATTAGTCATAAAAGAAGAAAAGGCGCGTCTTAGGAACACCTAAGAACAAATGTGGCGAGCTAAATATGTTCCTCAATTATTTTGAGATCATCTTACGAACCAGTGTAAAAAAAATCATCTTAAGATTCCGGGATAGATTTACAAGAAACTTTGCCCATCCCAACCCAGAGCATACAGCCTGATACTAATCAAATTCAAATGAGAAAAAGTTTCATAACTGTCAAATTAGTGGCAGCATTAGATAGGTGTTAGCTAAGTATGAAAAATGCTGTTTTTGTTATTGAAGCAACCATTGAGGCACTTGGACATAACACTGACGAGTTTCCGTTAAGTAAGTCATCTATTCAAAGAATTCGTACCGAAAAGCGAAAGGAGCGCCAAGAAGCTATAAAGATTGATTTCCAACGCGAGATACCGAATACTATAACTGTCTACTGGGATGGCAAATTGTTGCCACCTTTAAATGCACGCAAGTCTAAAGAAGAACGTCTATACGATTGTTATAACGTATGAAAATAAAAGCAACTGATCGATATGCCCAAATTGGATGACTCTTCAGGCAGTTTGGGATGCTATTATTGAATGGTATCTTGAAGATGAAGTTCAATTATCTGCTGTGATCTACTGCTTCAAATACGGGTCGAATTGACTATGACTGCGTGCTTCTCGAACAGGAACTTAATAAACAAATGCTTATTTTTGTGATTACAAGCCCTGACATTCCAATGTTCAAAAAGTTTCGCGAGAGCTGGAAAAGTGTGGATCCTGAGAAAATACAGATTTATACTGAAAAGCTATCATACCTAAATATTTCAAAGACTGACAAGATGCTAGAATTTTATCGACATACATTGACCAAAGAAGTTGCTAGAGACGACCATCGAGAATTAATAGAACTTTCAATAATATCCCTTGGCGGAGATACAGAGAAGAAATTTAAGATTCGACCGCCTGGCGCCATATATCAAGCTCGATGGATGACCAGAACAATCTATTCATTAAAAATAGCGTTACTAAGTTCCCAGCTAAAACTTTCTAATAAGGCTAAGGCAGCTCTGTTAGATATCTGCCTGTTCATCGTGACAAAATACGTGACACAGTGGTTGCAATGCACTGTAGCGGTAAAAGCACCTTACCAGGATTTTTACAGGCAATGAAATCTTACGAAAGAATTGACAAAACCATTCCAAAAGCAGTTTTACAAAAGTTCTGCAAACATTTATGGTAATTGAGAGATGAGGTCTCTGTCTTATCTCTGTTTGACGGCGACGTACATGAGGAAAAAAGGACTTTCTGACCCACTTTTTGGTTAAGTCTGACGAATAAATTTTCCTTTGTCTTCTGTCTTATTTTACTGCGACGATATAATAGGCCAACTGTTAAAATAAGCCAGCATAAACTGCGATTATAACAATAGATGGCACGTTATACTTTCTTTCTATTTTATACATCAGATAGAGGTTAGTTGCGATGCTTTCTTTTGTTGTCCTGACCTGAGGCCAAGCCTAGATGATGCTGATGAGTTGCCAAAAAACACAAAAAACCTGCCCAAAGTTGACTGTTTGTGATCGGACGGCCGTATGTTTAGATGGTAGTTATTCTTCGTTTTCTCATTTCAGAGAAAAATATCGATGACTTTGTTTCAACTACAAGCAAGTCCTTGTTCTGTCGACTCAAAATTGGTAACAGTTTTCTCGACTAGTGTCCAGCTTCATGGCCACATACTGATTCTATTCAATACGCTAAGAATAAGGTGCAAACCCTGAGATCAGTCAACGATAAAACTGTAAAAGGAAAAAAATAGTAAATAATGTTCTTTTAATGATAACTATCAAAAAATATAAGGCACAAATAAGGTAGTGTTTTATTTGTCGAATAAAAATTAGGTTTGGAAATCCATAGATGGTTTCCCTATTAACTTTCAAATTCAGTTTGACTGAAAGTCCGGATTATCGTTATCCGATCGCAATATTTATTTTTTGAGTTGTTGGAGTCAAATGGAAAAAATAGAGGGTATGTGTATCACAATTCGATCAAAAATTTGTTTGCTCTCATATGCTGGGAAACAATAGTGTGCAGTCTAGAATTATTAACGCTTTCAATGACGTCTCAGTGTCAGATACGGTGATCATTTTATTTATCATATTCTGGGTTACACCTGTTTTCGTATGGTATTTCTATAAACGGCGGTTTGTGACCCGTTAGTGTACCAGGAAATTTCACCTTGCAAATCATATAACTGCGTAAATTCACGCCACCTGCCAATTATGTGTATTATTTAGAATCCTACTAGTATCATGTGCTTATGACATTTTCATGTCACGTGGCGTGACAGTAATCTGTTCCCATCTTAAAACTCATGCGTCTTTTCCCACACGGTTTTCTTTGCCAATAAAAAATGTTACTTATGGAGCACCTAGAGCAATGCTTGTGTTAAACGTGACAGTGTGAAATGGATTTTTTAACTTTGATTTGAGATGACTGCAATTTTTTTCTTGGTTTGTGACAGATTCGTAAAAATGACTAAATATCTTCTTCATAAAGCTTCTTTTCAGTCTATCGAATAGGACGTCAAAATGAGAAAAAGTGTAATCGAAATAATAGGTGCGGAGCCAAAATTAATATACATGTATGTGTTCTAGGAAATTAAAAATGTGCAGCTGGAGGATCCAGGATCCCAAAGAGATGATGACGAGATGGATGTGTCGGACGATGAAGATTTTATGAGGAAAAGACAAAGGCATGATATATCCATCGAAGAGACATATCACTTGAAGGATGAAAATGACAGTTTGAGATGCCAGTTAGAGGCTTACAAAAACGAGGTATTTTTCATCAGCTGACTTTTTGGTTTTCTTATATCCTTTTTCTGATTATTTAGCTTAGTTTGAACAAAAATGGTTCATGGTAAGATTTCTCTAAGTTATTCAGCCAATCAATTAGTTTTTTTAAATCGAAAATAAACAACTTCGACCTTAGGTTCAAAATTAGCCCAACTATCTGAAAGGGATTTGACTGGGGAACGGATCTCGATTTTTAGTGTTTGGTCATTTTTTGAACTATTTCTACTGCCCATGCCAATTGGTTCCCTTACGAGAGTGATTGCAACAGGAGGCGCAACGAAATGGTCGCACCACTATTTGTGACTCCCTGGTACATTT